TGCCAAAGGCAAACACACACACACACACACACACACACACACACACACACACACACCTCATTTATCCACTCAAGGGGACTAGAAACATGTGTTCAAGCAAAAACTTTTAGTTGAATACTCAAACCAGCATTATTCATAATAGCCAAAATGTGGAAAGAACCCAAATGTCCATCAAATGATGAGAGCATAAACAAAATAGATTGTATCCACATAGTAGAATATTATTCTGCCATAAAAAGGAAATGAGTACTGATTCATGCTACAACGTAGATAAACCTTGCATACATGCTCAGTAAAATAAGCCAGACACAAAATGCCCACACATGATTCATTTACAGGAAATATCCAGAATAGACAAATTCATAGAGACAAAAAATACATTAGTGCTTTCCAGGAGCTGAGGGGAGAGGGATTTGGTGCAGGGTTTCTTCAGGGGGTAATGAAAAAGATCTGGAATTAGAGAGTGATGCTGGTTGCACAGCATTATGAATATACTAAAAGCCACTAAATTGTGCACTTTAAAATGATGAAAGCAGTGAATATTGTGTTATATGAATTTTAGCTCAATAAAAAATAAATAAGTCATTTGAAAAATAACCTACCTTAGACTCTTAGAGACGTGTTATGGTTAGCTAACCTAATAATTTAGTTTATGCCAAGATGCCAATAGCTAGTAGCATTTAACCATTGGCCCTCCAAGAAACCATCTGAATATAAAGTCAATATTGTAAAGTTTCCACTAGTGCATCTATGATTGTCTTGGACCTTCCTAATATTTCTGCCTCTGCATGCATGGGCTCTGCATCTGTGAATTCAAGCAACCACCTATCAAAAATATTCTGTGAAAAAACTGTGTCTGTACCTAACATGAACAGACTTTTTCCCTGTCACTGTTCCCTGAACGATACAATATAACAACTACTTGCATAGCATTCAGGTTATTATAAATAATCTAGAAATGATTAAAAGTATGTAGATGGGTGTGCATGGATTATATGCAAATATGCAAATAGTATACTATTATATATGAGGGACTTGGCCATCTGTGTATTTCGGTATCCACGGGGGACCTTGAAATGAGTCCCCTGTGGTTACTGAGAAACAACTGCACATCCCTGTGTTCTTCGCCCACTAAAGCCAGATGTGGCCCCAGAGTCTTTCTCAGATATTTTCCAAGCAAGCAGCCTCTGTCTTTGATCTCAGCTGGAATAATACTGACCATTCATCCTAGCTTTGGCTGAATGGCTCTGCCCTATTTTTTTGATAATTCATCAGACACCAGCCCTATTTTCTGGTTTGGAAATCATGGTCTTTTTATGCTTATATGGTAGTTTCAGGAGCCAACTGAAGAGCTACCGTAGGATGGATAAATGGTAGGGAGACCTGCCTGTTCCTTCCACTTATACCAAATGGCCCCATGGCAGCCCAGTCTACCACCAGTCAGGCCAGCCCCTGGGATTTTCTGTGTTTGACTGAAGTGTATTTTCCCTGATTTTCTCAAGAGCCACCATCCAAGAGATCTAGGACAGAGCCCTCAATTGTGTGCATCTGTGCTGTGTCTGTGTCTGTGTGTGTGTTCACGCCCGCATGTGTGTGTATGGGTATGTGTTTGGGGAAAAAAAGAAGCCACCATGAACTAACATGCTTTTCTCAGAGAACTGACAAGGCCAACATGAGAGGAGAAAAATATCAAAGAAATGAAAGTAAACTGAAGAGAGGAGGGATTTGAATGGTTTGAGGGCCTTGGAGCCTTAACTCTCAGTCCTGTTTATGAATAAATAAAGTCACCTTGGACAAAGAGCCCCAGTAGTCATCATCAGAGTCTGTCTGGGGCCTCCCTCCTGCAAGGCCAAGTGCAGCTTTGTCTTAAGGATACTCTCTTGAGACACAGGCAGTAGGCTACAGCAGGAGCTGCCAAAGAGGAGGACAGGAAGAAAAGGAAGAAACAATGCAGTGTGTGTACACAGTGTGTGTGTGTGTGTGTGTGTGTGTGTGTGTCAGCACTTATGCTAATAAAACCATGACTTCTCTCCTCGGAAAGCTGCATTATTCAGCTGGGAATACCCCACAGCCTAAATTACTACTCTACAAATAGAACCACAGCCAAGAGCACCACTCAGAGTTTCTCATGATGTGCTTGTTCTCAAAACCACAAAGAGGGCTTCCTCTGCTATTATGCCAAGCGCAAAGGGGTAAGCAGCCCAAACAGCTCGTGGCTAATGAAAGGAAAACGCATATCCTTCATGGTGTCCGCCTCTCATCCCCTGAAATACGATCCCATCCGATTCTGACTTTGTCCTAAACACAAATACAGTTCCTCCGAAAGAAATGAACTAAGAGGCTACAGAGCCTTTCCTCCCACTAGATGGCAGTATAGAGTACTCCAGCAGTTTTGTTTGAACAAGGAAGGATGGCAGTTTTCCTAAGTCTCCATTATTTCCTTAAATACATAGAATCGGGTAAGTAAGCAAATTAACCAAAATTCAATTAATAATGCAATAAAATATAGGTTTATATGTAACTACTAACCAAACGAAATTCATTTTTGCTTAAATTTAACTTGAAAATATGTAAAGGGCTTTTATAGGACCTATTCTTGGCCCTTCAAGCAGGGCATAAGGGTGCTCAAACAAGGTCTGCTCGAACAAGGTCTGTGCACTCTGGAAGATGACACCCCAGTGAGGAGAGAGACCATTCTAGACTCAATCTTCTATAAGACAGGCTATGATAAAGTGTTTATAATGAAGATAGAAACTGTCTATTGGATTCATAGCTATGTTTCAGGCTACAAATATTTTAATCCCTCATGAGCTACCAACCGTCCAAAATCATTGCATGTGATTTTTAGAAAATAACATGAGTGTATCAATGCTGTCAAAGAAAAACAGCTGATTGATGACTATATCATTTTCTCACTTATATAACATTGCAGTCAAAGATGACATGACTAATAGCTGAAAAGGAAATTTAAGCAATCAAAATTGCCTGGCCAGTATCACATGGGGCAATATTCCTTTCATGTCCTCTGGTGAACAGTCTTCTGGATCACAGCCCCATCAAAGGTACATGGCAACTGTGCGATCATGAGACTTTTCTTCCCATGTCCCTTGGGAAGTAGTCACTGTGCAGTGTCTGCTGTTCATAGGAATTTTGAGAACCAAGTGGAGAGGTAGTATGGGAAGGATGCCAGCTGTCCCCAAAACCCTGCTTTCTCTTTCTTATTATAAAACTCAGGAGAGTTGAAGCAATTAAGATTTTAAGTAATGGAATTTCTTTACAGGTGTAATCACTGAGACTTTTTAACCTCTTGTTTGTGGCAAAGAGGTTATTTGGAAAGGCAGGAACTTTACCTATTATTTTTCTGGCCTCCAGTGTATCATCCATAGACTCATAGAAAAAAAGACTGACAGGTCATCTAGTCTGTTCACTAAACTGACTCCTAAATCATTCTTGATAGACCTCATAAATGAAAAGGAGGCAGTTAAAGGCTTCCCCAGTCTAGATATATTCAAGTTGAGAACGAAAAGGGAGGCCAGAGAAGACTAGGGGAAATGCAGGCATGAGATGGATCACCAGGGGCCCAATCCAGAGGATGCTCAAATACAGAATAAAAAGTGGCTCCCAGCCAAAGCATAACTGTAGCCTAAACAGCCATCAAGACAGTCTTCATTTTTATAGGGCTCTCAGTTTGGCCTGCACTTAGATGCTACTCAACTGAGCACCTTTTAAAGAATCAAATCCCCCATTGTTTTTGTTATGAAGTTATTCCTTTGATATCTCACTATCCCCATTCTGATGTACAACAGCCCCCCCACTTTTCTCTACGTTTCCTTAACATACTATTAGTTATCCACAGTCAAATATGGTCCAAAAATATTAAATGGAAAATTTCATAAATATCAATTCATAAATTTTAAATAACTTTTATTACAGTGTATTGCAGATGTTTATTTTATTATTAGTTAGTGATGTTAAATTTTACTGTGGCTAACTCTAAAGTTAAACATTCTAATAGTTATGTGCAGGGAAAACACGTAGAATTTCACACTATCTGTGGTTTCAGGCATCTGCAGGAGATCTTGGAATATATCCCACACAGATAAGGGAGGGCAGAGCAAATGCTTTTGCTGTGTGGCTTGGCTCAGAGGCCTGGACTGGTTATGCCTCTCCATATGTCCACATAATATGAAATAATAATGAAGTTAATCTATATAATTATATAATATTTATCTATAAAGAACACCACTTGGAAGAATTAATGCTAGAACAAATTTATGTATTTAGATAGGCCACAAACCCCTTCAACAAATATTTTAATTTGGAAATAGTAAAGACTATTTTCTCTAATAAAAAGGCAATAATATTATATATTAACAATAACTGAAGCAAAGGAAAAACATTACCAAACCGGGAATTTAAAAAGATTATTTTTTTAATAACTGACATTGTAATAATACACCAAGAAAATAACAATGATGAAAAGTTGCATTCCCTCAATCTGTGATTTCGCTTTTGCCAAATCACTGCTCAGAGGAAAATTGGAAATCAATCCAATGTATTAAGCCACCATCAATAAAGTTCAGTCAGTAATGTGGGAAAATAATGAAAAATATTAAACTGCATCTTAATCTGGCCCTAACTTGGGGTCATTTATGGTAGTTATAATTTTTCAAATCATGTGAGCTCTTCTCTCAAAGGATTATCAAGAGTTCTATGGAAAACATTATTTGTAAACCCTTCCCTGGAATTAATAAGTATATAATACATATATTCCTGGTTTATATATGAGCACAGACCACAGAACAATATTATCAATTTGCTAAAGATTAAACTAGATTTCCACTCACCAAACAATACATATGTGATAGATCCTTGAAATAAACTTGAAATCTCACCAATTCAAACTTGCAAAATATTTACACCCCCTCCACATCCCCAGTTCTCTTTCCCATCTGGCCATTCCCTTCATATTGAAACATTTTTAACATTATGTTAACTGAAACTCCCTCTATGGCTAGATTTTAGTTTACATAACACAACCTTTGATTTCTTCCACTAAATATGATCTTGGATTAAATCTTTTACTTTAGGCTATCAATTAATATGAATCATAACCAGTATTACCCTATACATATCATCTTCTGTGTTGATAAACAAAAATGTTATCAGTGCCCTGGGTGTTAGTAAAAATGCTAAACAGAACAGGGCCAAAGAGAAAGCCTTATTTCTCTATGAGGGTGAATCCATTAATTGTTAGACAAACTCAGTTAACCAATTACTAATTATCTTAATTTTCTAGCAGCCAAAATCTTGCTTCCCCGGTCTTCTTTACAGGGTTATCCTTAGAATCACTGTTGAATACCTCACCAAAATCCATATATTCTAAGTCTATTGCATTTTTCTGATTAAAAATGAAATAACCAGGTCAAAGAAAAAATTAAATTAGTGTGGAATGATTTGATTAAAAGAATCCTCAGTGGCTCCAAAGGATCATCATTTCTCCTTCTAGAGGTCCACAAATCATCCTACTAATAGCCTGTTTTAGAATATCTGCTATGATCCAGGATCAACGCATTAATCACCAATTTGTCTCAGCTACTCTTTTGCTCCTTTTGAATATCAGGAATGGGTTCTCATGTCTTTTTTGTTCTCTACACTCATGCCCTGTGGTTCAGCAATAGCATGTGCAACGTCTTGTGAATCTTACAGGCTGGGGAACTCTGAAAAATAAAGCTTTCCTTTATCCATCTTGATTTCCATTTCTGTTCACCACATTTCACTCTACTCTTTTCAGATCCAAGTCTCAACCCCTGATAAATAAGACAAGTAAGCAATAAAAAAGATTAATGGGTTTTCATTTTGCTATGCACCACAATTTTTTCTATGACCCTATTAGACAAGTGTTCACTTTCTTTGTCTTCTTACTTTGGCAAATGTAAATTATATCCTTAAATACATAAATCTGAAATGTATAACTGGATAAAATTTCACACATGCATTCATTCATGGCTGCCATCTATATCGAGATCCTGAACATTTTTGGCCCCTCAGAATGCTCTTTTCAAGTCCCCTCTCAAAGAAGACGCCTCCTGTCTGTAGGTTCTATGAAAATGCTGTCTGCTGGGGGGAATCTGGACCCAATCCCCATGGGTGCTAAGAGACATGATAGAACACTCGTTTAGCAAGCGTGAGGCCCTGGTTCCATCTCCAGCATGAGGGTGGGGGGAGAAAGAAAAAGGATAAAAAAGAAAAGAGGAAAGGAAGAAAAGAAAGAAAGAGAAATCCCTTATAATCAGGAAATTGCTGTTAATAAATTGAAGTTTTTCCTTCTAGTTTTTTTTAGTCATACTTCCCTTTTTACAAATAAGTTGTATATGTAATGTTGCATATTCCTCTGTGGCTTAATATTATATCTCATACTATCTCCCATATCATCAAAATCTTCTTAAGCAATGTTTTTTTTACATGGATATAACACAATTGTATTCTCTATTCTTGAATATGTTTTTTTATTTTCAATTATCATAAATAATGTTTTGACAAATATTTCTTTGCAAAGGCTCTCTGAATTTTATATTATGTCCTTGAGACAAATTTTCCTTTCAAAAGTACCACCTACTGGACTCTGGAAGAAACTGGAGTTTGGTGTGAACATGGGGAAACAAAAGAAAGCAAGGAAGTATGCGACCATGAAGCAAATGCTTAGGCTCAGAGAGGAGAGACTCAAAGAAAAGGATAGATTAAAACCTAAAAAGAAAGATCCCAGTGCTCTAAATGAAAGAGAAGTCCCCCAACATCCTTTCTGCTTATTCTTCCAATATAATACCCAGCTAGGCCTACCTTACCATATCCTGGCTGATACCAACTTTATCAACTTTTCCATCAAACCCAAATTGTTCTTAGTACAATCGATGATGGACTGTCTCTATGCCAAGTGCATCCGTTGTATAACTGATTGCATAATGGCTGAAATTGAGAAAGTGGGACAGAAGTATTGAGTGGTTCTAATTGCCAAGGATCCATGATTTGAACGATTACCTTGCACACATAAAGGGACCTATGCTGATGACTTAGTGCAGAGAGTAACTCAGCACAGGTGTCACACTGTGGCCACAGTTGACCAGGAACTTAAATGGAGAATCTGGAAGATCCCTGGAGTTCCTATCATGTACATTTCTAACCACAGATACAACATCGAGCAGATGCCAGATGACTATGGAGCCCCTCGGTTCTAATTCTTACAAAACAAAAGTTCCTCTGCCTTCCTCGGACCAACTTTCTGTTTTCAGTTCACTGAACATGCTACAGCTTGAATTATTAGTCACCTATTTGCTCTATTATCAGTCAAGTATGGTTAAATACATTCACTTTTTGAAAATGATTTTTTTTTAAAAAAAGTACCACCTACTGACTACTTTCCATGGGCCAGGAATGCTTGATATACATTTATCACAACTCATCTTCAGAACCCTTTGAGATATTCTTGTTTCCATTTTGCTGATAGTGAATTTTAGGCTTAGAGAGATGAACATACCTTGCTGTAGGTCATGCAACTACTAAATTTTGGAACTGAGAGTTGAACTCAGGCCCGTCTCCTGCCTCCTGAAGTCACACTCTCACATATTATGTTTGTTGCTTCCTTACTTTCCTATGGTGAAACTACTAGATAAAAGGATATAAAAGTTTTTACATCTTTGAATACATATTGTCAAACTGAATTTAACTTCCATCACAAAGTTTGGAGGATGCTCATAGCATCCTTGTGAGTAATAATTTCATCTCCATAGAATAAAATCTAAATTCCTAAATATCATATTCCAGAGCCCCAGAATTTGGTTCCAACTTAGTTTTTCGAGTCTTGTCCTCTAGTGAATCCATAGGCTAGTCTATATCCCATAGGCCAGATGGCCTTTAACTCTGCTTCTTATCTTTGCTCAGTTCTGACACTTCAGCTTGAAATACATTGACATTCCCTCCACCACAGAAAAGATCAAGTAGATGTGAAGCCACCCAGGATGCAGTAGAGTTGGGAACTATAAAGAGGAGTAGAATATGATTAAGACATACAAAGGAGGTTCCGGGGTAGGGCTGTTTAGTGGTGGAGAGCTTACCTAGCATGCCCGAAGCCTGGAGGTTCATCTCCAGCACCACGAAAAAAAGAACAAGGAGAAAAGAAAGGAGGTCCATTCCACCAGGAGCTCTTCTCAAGTATCTAGAGAATACATCACTGGCTCCTCTGTGAGCTTTGTCTGTAGTATGCCTGTCAGCCAGGTGCTCCGCACCTGCAAGCCTGGCTCAGAAATTGCCTATACAGGTCTGTTCTTCCATCCAGGCTTTTCTCGGACAGTAAATCTCCATGCCACAAATACACACTGAAGGCATTTAGGCTCTGGTGAGGTATCTCAGTCAGGTCAAAGAAGAGAAAAGTCACCATGAGAGAAGCAAAGAAAGCCAAAAGTGATGCTGTGGCTTCCTGATTTGTCATCTTGGACAGGCCGAATTACATTTCCCAGAATTCCCTTTCCTGTGTTTTCCCCTTCCAGTAAACCACAAAGAGATTCTGTTGTAGGCTTAATAGGGCAGAAGTGAAACAATGATCCTTTGTTAACTCTCACACATTGTAGCTTACCTGCTGGCTTTCTTTGCCAGTAGGAAGCTGTGGCTGGGCCTGCAGCTAACTCTCCTTTCCTCTGGCTCCTCCATCTTCTTCTATAATCTATTGGACCAGAGCACCATACCCAAAGAGGCTGGCTACAGGACACTGCCCCATCCAGGTCAAGAGCTTGAAGAACTGACCTGGACTTCGGGCAGTCTTCATAGGCTCCAGTTTGTGCTGGTGGGTTCAGTCGTGTCCTTGCTCTTACCTAACTTTGTGTCCACCCTCTCTTTCCCACTGTCTGCCTTGTGGACTTAAGCTCCAGCATCAGGTGTGATGATAGCAGCCTTACCAAGACTGCATAGCCAGCTCCCACAACGGTAGGAAGTCAAGAATCCATGGAATGTTTTAATTATCCTGAGCTGCAAATGTAGTTTTGTGTTATAGCATGTGATTAGCATGAGCGAGGCCCTGGTTTCAATCTCCAACATCGAAACAAAAGCAAAATCTTGTGATTCCACTTCTTTAAATCCTGATGGATGCATGTAATAGAATCTCAATGGAAGGACTAGGAGAAAGAAGAATCCCAGCAGCCCCTCTTCCAGGCCAGCATGAGGGTTCTCCTGACAATCAAAATTCTGTCTGAGCCTCCTGGGCCACAGGACCTTTGCACAGCAGAAGCCACTGAGAACTCCTATGGATATTTCTACAAGTTTGGATGCACAGATGAGCTGTCAGAAGCACTTGACTTCCTATCTTTTCATAAGAGAGAGAGAGAGAGAGAGAGAGAGAGAGAGAGAGAGAGAGAGAGCCAGGAGCCCATAGAAATAAATGGCCCAGTGGACCAGCCTTAGCATTCCAAATCAAAATGACCATGAAATAATGTTTTACTCTGCATCAGCTGCCCTGTCTGCTCCAACTATCAGCTGAATTGCCTGCCACAATAATTATTTCATCTGCCAAGGTGAAAATCTTTTAGCAACCCATAAATGCTTTAGTGACAAAGTCCCAGGGATCTTGGAAAGGAGGAAAATGGAAGTCAAAGTTGGAGATAGCAGGAAAGAAGGCACCTCTGATAGGAAGAGAAAGCCGGTTTCTGCTTCCACCAGCAGGCTTATCCAAGATGTCAGCTACCCCATGGAAGAGGGGGACACGATTGCCCCCAAGTGAGCCTCTGGATGCCAAAAGTTTGACAGCAAGGGCACAGGAAGGCAGAGAGGTAGGTCTGAGCAGGGTACTGCTACATAGACAATATACAAGTCATTATGGGCTGTTTAAGACAGCTATGTGTATAACTATGTCAAGGAATGTCTTCAAATGCAACCATCGGCTTGGATCTTAATCAGGGCTCAATAGTTGCAAGGATCAGAAACCTCATCAGGCCAATTAAAATCTAAGGGGGGGCAGGGGTGCCAGAAGTACATCTACCCTGACAACTGGGAGACCGGAAGACACCTCCTCAGTTCACCTCTGTCTCCAGGGCCACATTGCTTCTCAGCTCTGCTCCTTTCTAGAAGTCTGCTCTACAATTCTGGGCAGACTGGATGTCTCTGGTTATAGTCCTGCTCCCTGTTCCTCCAACACTACCTGATATTACAGTTCCTGGGCATACCACCAGCTGCCTGACCACCTCTCGGGAACTGGGGCTTGGATCACACATCCCAAATGAGTGTGCTGCAGCACATCATTCAGTCTATGGACAAGGATTTGCTTCTTAAGCACCTCCCAGGGTCCCACCCCTAGTAGTTGCTGTGGATTACCGAAGCATGGTGTTTCAGAGTTGCTGTTTACAAGGCACAGAAGAGAGGAGAGATCTGATGCACGCAGAAGAAACTGCAGGAGAGGAAAACAAATGAGGGCTGGAAGGGTCACAAGAGCTCTTTGGCAGATGTGGAACCTGCACCGGAAGAGGAAGGATGTTAATGGTGGTTCTTCCACAGGCAACCAAAGACCAGAAGTGAGAATGAGGTGGGATTGTAGGAAGTAGTAAGTGTCATGAGATGCAATTATGGTGTCGAAGAGCAATCAGGTAAAGTTTGAAATGGCAGGCCTGGAGCTTGGAGCGAAAACTAAACTGCATTCTATGTGATAGCGATTCTCAAACTTTATTCCCTGGTGGACTTCTTAACCCACACATCACTGGACCTGAGCCTCAGAAGTTCTCATTCAACTGGTCTGGGGCAGAGTCTGAGAATTTATATTTCTAAATGACTTAGTGGATCTGTCTGCAACAGGTCTAAAGGTGATGTGCAGGGTTGATAGGCAAGGCTCCAAGAGAGAAGGGTCCAGGTGGCTTTATAGCAAAAGTAGGACAATGCCACTCTGATGCAGGCCAATGGAGAATGTAGGGAGAGAAGGGCCCATCTAAGAGGTATGGCATCTGCCATAGACCAGACAATGCCCAGAGTTCCTGGAGAAATGAGGCCACATGGGATCCAGTTCCTGCACTTGAGGCACAACAGCCTATCAGTACTGTAGAGAGAGAAGGCACACTGAGAAGGCTGGCAGACCAATGCAAGGAGGTAGGGTGGCCTGGCTGGGACTCACGCAGGTCTGGGTTCATATCTTGGACCCACCACTCTGTACAATGCCCTCAATGTGTCCCTCAGCTCCAGGCATGCAGAATCTTGATTGTGGGCTATGGCCCCCACGGAAGTGTGAGAATTAACAAGGCCAACACATGCCACAGAGCACCATACTCCAACAGAGCAAGCATAAGTAATATCAGTTCTTGTTTTCATTATCATCATATCAAAGTTTCTAACATGTAGCAACTTTTCACACCTTTGACCTTCTCAACACTCTTATGAGCAAGCACCATGATTATGAGAGAGCAATCTGTTCAGGTTTGTCTGACATAGTCCCAGTCTATTCCAGCTCGGTTGATTCATTATTGAAACTACTCCTTTCACTCCACAAATATCTTGGTTCAGGAGATAAGTGATAGGATTCCCTTAATTATTACCCCTTGATTACACATTGGGAAACTGAGGCGTAGAGAAATTAAAGAACTTACCCCAAGCCGTGCACTTGTCAAGTGATAGAGCTAAAACTGGCAGCTTGAATGTGAAGGGCATACTTGAAACTACTTCATCATACTGCTGGCTGAAGAGAGTATGAAAGCACACTTTTTCTGCCTTCAGACTTTGGGGATGAAAGCTGTCCATCCATTCAGGCAGAGACCATTCCCCAAGCCAATGGACTACGAGGTAGAAACAAGGAAAAACTGCCAGGCATGATGGTGCACACCTGTAATGCCAGCACTCAGGAGGCTGAAGCAGGAGGATCCCGCAAGTTCCGCCAGTCTGGTCCACATAGTGAGCTCAAGGCCAGCCTGAACCACAAAGCAAAACTCTGTCCCCCTGCAAAAAAAAAAAGAAAAAGGAGCAGCATGCTTGGAGAGGTGAGACACAGATATGTCAGTGGCACCAGTACAGGCAGGAGAATGGCTAAAGCCACCTATAGAAAACCATGCACTCGGGGTGCTTCTTCATTACTCCTGTACAGGGAACCCCTCTTCTGAGTCAAAACAGATCCCCTCCAGAGAGAACATTCCATCAGGGCTCAATCCAGAACCTCTGCAGAGTATGAAAATCTAAACAAACAGAAACCCTGTCTGAGGAATGGATGCCACCGGAA